TACACTCAGGTGTGTTCTGCTGTGATGCAAGTCAGTACAAATAAAGATGGCAGAATGAAGGCAAAACACACTGGTGCCATATGATGGCCCAACATGTTTCATTAGACCCCTGTGTGCTCTGTGGAGTTGTGTGTGGCTGTAAGCATCAACATCCCTGAAACATTTTGAGCATTCCTGTTTGGACCTCCAGGCTTCCGTAGCAGCTCAGCTCTGCTCTTACTGTGATTTTTATGTGACAAATTATTTGATTATTTGTGTTAAAAATCAGATTAAGAAAAAAACATTTTGAATTTCATCCTGAACAGGATTTCTTTTTGGCATATTAATGGTGGCTTGTGTTGGTTTTATGATGAAAAAATATTCTTTATTTATATATTAGTACATTTGAGTCCCCATCCTACACAACCAAGTACTGACATATCCTGTTGGTGACAAGACCAAACTGGGATCCTTTATCCGATCAGAAAACCACAGCTTCAAGCTAAACCTATGGATGATGAACGTGAAAGCAGCTGAAGCTAATCATCTAAAATAAGAAGAGTCACCACTGATCAAAATGATCATAAAGCCACAGTGCTCAGAGTATCGCTTAATGCTCTTATTTTGACGAGCTTCCCTGTGTTTCTAGCAGAAGAAGAGTCGTGTCAACATGGAAACAGTGGTGATGAGGACTGGGTCCAGATCCCTGCTAGACGGCGGTCCTTGTGTCTTCGTGGGAAAGGGAGGATGAGCGAGTTGTATTTCACTTCCAGGGTTCTCTGAGGACATTTTTCTTACCCAGACCTGGTCCAGACCCACGAGGGCCGACACCCCAGCTAGGTACTTCTGTGTGTAGGGTGTTTATGGGAGCAGGCAGCGGTCCAGTCTAGTGCATGTAGCCTAGTGTGGTCAGGCTGTAGCTGAGCTGATAAATAACAAGTCAGTGACTCGATGCACAGGGAACGTTTAAAATTGGCATAATGACCTGAACTGAACTGGAGTGTTTACGCTGTGACGTGCCTTAAGACGACTCTTGTTGTGATTTCTATAATAAACTGAACTGAACTGTCAGAAAGCACAAAGCTGCTCGTGCTAACGCCGCAGACCGTAACCAGGACACGTGGAAGCACGACGTCTCCCTCTCTTTCGCTTTTCTCTTGTTGGGATTTCTTCTGTTTTCAGGGTTCCGTCTTTTATACTTTTACCCATTTTGGTGAAAACGTGACAAACACGGGGGTGACTTTACACGAGTTAGTTTGAGACGAGTCATTTGTGTGGGACATTTTAAATCAGAAGGATACTTTCACCGGTGTGGTTCACACATCCGACCGGGTGAGCCTTCCGCGGCCAGCGGTGGTCTAAACAACCTACTTCTGTCTGACAACGGCATCAGGAGACGGAGGTGCACATGTGCAGAAAGCTATTTGGAAAGGCCTCCTCGTAGCTGTCAGCTCCTATTATGCGCTGAGGTGTCATGTTTGTTAGGAAGCTGAGTGCAGATGGCAGAGTGGAAGAAATGGATCACTAATTTTAACAATGATTAATGAACAGAGATGGAAAATGAATTACATCGGACTATTGGAGGCAAGGAATATTTTCTCTGAAAATGTTAACTTCGGCTGCCAGGCAGCCGGCCGTGTGGTGGGAGTATATTGGGAGGGGGGAGGGAATGGGTGTGTGTGTGTGTGTGTGTGTGTGTGTGCACTAAGGTGGAATTTTTCCCTCGCATCTCTTGTAGAATCAACACTCCACTGCTCTTGCCCATTACTTCAACGCTTGCCTGCTTAAACACTGCCTGCTTCATACACATTGTCCCCCCCCCCCCCCCTGCGTGTGTACTGCTCTACCAGTTAGGGTACACACTCTTTATGAAGGTAAACACAGGAAAGGTTAGACTGTCTTAAAATGTTGTGGTCCTCATTACTCTGCAGTAAGCTTCACATCCCCTCTGAGTCGCGGTAGAGTCAGTCAGGCTCTGCTCCTGCTGCACGTTCTACCAGAGCTCCTGCTTTCAGCACTTTTGTCATTTTGATCAGGAAGGAACAAAAGTTTGGGAGAAGTGAGTCGATCTTTTCTTTCCTGGACCCCCCTGCGCCGTTTCGAAGCAGCTTATGGATGTAAAGTGACATTTCATCAGCGTGTTCCTGTAAGTTAAATATGACAGAGGAAATTGGTGCGTCTGCCTCACACACACACACACACACACACACACACACACACACACACACACACACACACACACACACACACACACACACACACACACACACACACACACCTGACACACCTCGTTGCCTCTGATCTGAGCACATTTCTTTTCTCATTTCTCTCTTCTCAAATGTGAGCCCCCCCCCCCAACCTTCCCGGCCCCGCCCCGCCCCAGCCACCCCGCCTGTGGTTGTGTTCCTGTTGATGTTTGTCTGGTGGGCGACTGGTGGTTTAATAGGTAGATGCAAACTATTTTGAATTTAATTAACCTTCTGATGGGAAATACATAAAAGGAGAGACGGGAGCAGCTCCTAGCAGCGTTGTGTGTTTGTGTACTTGTGTGTTTGTGTACTTGTGTGTTTGTGCGTGTGTGTGTTTGTGTGTGTGTGTGTGCAAACAGGAGATGGAGAGAAGAGGAGTAAGAGTGAGACGGAGGGAGAGATCTTAGGTTACAACAGCATATGCTAGGCACTCAGAAAACATACACAACGCCTTTGGTGAACAAGGTAGTCAGTATGCCCCTGGGAGCCAATTTAGATTGTGACTTAAGGCAAGATTGCAGCTTTGTGTGTGTGTGTGTGTGTGTGTGTGTTCCCTGCATGTGAGTGAGTTTTACTCTTGATGCTCCACTGAAACACTAGTGGTTGATAAATCTGGGTGGCCCTCCTGCAGACCCTCCACATCTGTGCTTCCCCCCCCACACCCGCCCCCGCCCCCCCGCCCCGCTCTTACAGAACCGAGCCGGCCTCTTAATGCCCGACTGCCTCGCCTCATTCACAAAAGCTGTAAGAATTAGTGGAGCTCTCCAGGACTTTCTTTAGGAGTCCAAATGTTCAGCATCTCCATATTAATAGATCACAACGAGCCAGGCCCGGAGACGGCAGGACCGGTCCCGCTGCGACTGGCAGAACCCGTGCAGCATGGAGCGTTTAGTTCTAAAATTGAAGGTAAATATACAAAAGCAAGAGCTCGCAGATTACCATCTAAGCAAACTTCAGCAGATTTAAGCAAACCTCTGAAATGTCACAAAAGATGAAAAGTAAATAAGGAGTAATTTAGTCAGCTGCGTGGAAGTGGATAAATTAACTTCTTCAGCAGAGAACAAAGCACAGCCTCCTCACTTTCACCTAACCGGAACATAAATACCTCGGAAACAATCCCCCCAGAATCGCACTAAACAGGTTTCAAACAGCAAGATGCAAGCAGAGGAGGCGCGGATCGTTCCTTTCTTATAGATTTCTGTCAGCTTGATGATTATTTCTGTGGGTTTCCTGTCTGAACCAGTTTAGTCCAGTTTGTGTCTTTTTTTTTTTTTTTACTGAAGAAGAAGACAATTCTCTCTTTGTGTTTTAAAGGGGAATCCTCCCGGTAATGGAGATGTTTTTCTAATATTAATGTAAAATCACCGTTCCAGTTTTCCCTGGCTGCCACAAATCATCAGAGTTTGTCTCTTTTCTACTTCACAAGGGTTGGATGGGTGTTGAGGTGAGCGCTAACTTGTGGTTTTTACTACAACGCTGCTCTCGGTGGGCTCCTGGCATCAGTTAAACGGCTGCAGATGGTCCTGAGCGTGGCGGCACACCTTGAGCGCCATTACCCAAAGAAGCGAGCGCGTGATTTCACTGCTCACCGTCTCATTCCGGCCTCCCGTGGCCGCCTGAAGGCAGCGCCAGCCAAAAAACACTGACTTCCACCTTAAGTCAACCTTTAGCCTGTAACCCACTCCTTCTGTGATGTCATCAGGAAAACTGTTAAAGAGCAAGTCACCCCCTACCAGAGTCTAACTCCACTTTCACTTAGTTTGAAAAATGCAACAAATGCTGTTGCCTGGCAGACCGAGAGGGCGGAGCCGCTAACAAATACACACACACACAGGCTCACGACAGCATTGTGACATCATAATGTACCAGTTTACATCATAGCATACCTCTTAGCCAATAGCGGTGGCAGATTTAAATTAAAATACAGTGCAGAGTTTTTACCTGACGACGGCACAACACTGCCAGTTTTAGGCAGAATATTTAAATTTTAACTAAGATGCACTGAAGTGCCAAATCATTGACGACACGTGTCTGCAGCACCATTAGACACTCGTTTATTTAGTTTATCAGCAAAAAAACGTTTATTTGGGGGTGACTTGCTCTTTAACTAGACACGTGTGCTGTTGTATGAGTGTGTCCTTATTCAGAAAAGTCAGTAAAAGTGAAACTAACTCAGAGATCTGATCTCTGGCAGCCTGATCCAGCTCCTGGTGGAACGGGTTGTTAGTGGCGGGGCAGATGTGAAGGACCACAGTAGAGACCAGAGTCCAGTCGGACTGATCCGATATGATCCGTACAAAATATCCATCCTAAAGCTCGATCCCTGGTTCTGTCGCCCTGAATCCCACCTGCACAGGTAACTCTTGTACTGGTGATTCATTTTGTCCCAGATGCTGCCCTTCTTTGATCCGTCCCTCCAGATGAGAGCGACAGATGCGAACAATCAGATGTCTGTGAATCAGAGGAGGAACGTTCGTTGACATTTGACCTTTTTTAGATGTTTTCCAAACTCCGTCCATTAGAAGAAGGACGTTTGGATTCTGCTGCACGAACGACGAGGCTGTTTACGTTTGCACGGTTTACTCCATGAGGTGTGAATGATCCATCTTCACAGTGATTTCTGTGGGTGGCGGGATAGGGGGGGGGGGGGGGGGGGGTGGATCAACAGTCACTTTTTAATGGGTATTTCTTTTCTGTCGCCATTGTTGCAAACTCGTCAAGCGTCAGATGCAGGTGACGATGAATTTCCTGGTGTGTGTGCTTTGTTTACAGGCTCTTGTCGTCCCACCTTCTGTGAAGCTGTCGGCGCTCTTCCTGACATCCGGCATCCGTAGGAGAGGAGGCAGGCACACAGGTACCATCGCTCCCGTTGATCAAGGGAAAGGGGAGGATATTAAAGATGTCTGTCACATTTACAGACTCGTGCACTTATGCTTTGTTTTCATTTAAAATGTTGTCTGTGAAAGTGAATTAACAATGCACTTCTCACAATCCTGAGATACTCACACCGTTGGTGGGCCCGGGCCCACTCCTGATAACTCCTCTCACCCACTGGATGGAAAACGCCCCAGCTCCTTTGGGGGAATCAAAGTATTTTATTAACTCTAATAACAATATAATTATAGAAATACTCTCATGTTCAGGTCAGGCAAAAGCCATTTGGCACAAAGAGTGTGCTAAAAAGTGTCAAGGTGTCAGTAGCGTTAGCATCTGTGGTTGTGATGTCACAAAAGCTACCAGTCTGGTAATTCACTACATGAGACTGTTCTCCAGTCCGAGTTCTGGGCAAGAAAACGTAAAACAACAAAGTTTAGATGTCAACAAACAACGACATCTGATGGAAACCAACAGCAGGAGGGCATGCACACATTAAGAAAGTCATCTTTTAATTCATAAATGCATGAAAAGTGATCATGTTTTATTTGGTAATGCGTTGAAAGATGTTGTGAATTAGTGATGATAACTTTTATAATAATTTGTTCTTTGGCCGCACGTTCACACCAAAACATGTGTTATGTCAGCTGCTTTTACATTAAAATAAACAAACAAAAACAAATGAAAGTCAAGCAGCTGCTTCTGAGATGTCGTTGTCCTTCTCAGAAGAGGAGCGGCCACACAAATCTAAAACCAGACTGAGTTTAGGTGAAGCTACAACAGACGGACCCAAATACAACGTGTCATGTAGCGGAGAGAACGGGGATCCCGACGGCTGGAAACCTCCTTCTGTTGTTGCAGCTACGACCTCCACACACTAGAGGGCGCTTTGCTGTTCGTGTTCCATTTTCCACCTTTATGGTGAACACACACTCACACACACACGCGCAACCACATGCACGCACACACACACGCACGCAACCACACACAACCACATGCACGCACACTCACACACACACACACGCAACCACATGCACGCACACACACACGCACGCAACCACACACAACCACATGCACGCACACTCACACACACACACACGCGCATGCACACGCACGCACACACACACACGCGCAACCACATGCACGCACACACACACACGCACGCAACCACACACAACCACATGCACGCACACTCACACACACACACACACAACCACATGCACGCACACACACACGCACGCAACCACACACAACCACATGCACGCACACTCACACACACACACACGCAACCACATGCACGCACACACACACGCACGCAACCACACACAACCACATGCACGCACACTCACACACACGCGCATGCACACGCACGCACACACACACACGCGCGCATGCACACGCACGCACACACACACACAAAACCACATGCACGCACTCACACACACACGCATGCACACACACACACACGCATGCACACACACACACACACGCACGCACACACACACACGCATGCACACACACACACACACGCACACACACACACGCGCATGCACACACACGCGCATGCACACACACGCGCATGCACACACACACACGCACACACACACACACGCACACACACACGCGCATGCACACACACGCGCATGCACACACACACACGCATGCACACACACACACGCACACGCACACACACACACGCGCACATGCACACACACACGCACGCACACACACACACACATGCATGCACGCACACACACACGCACACACACACACACACACACATACACACACACGCACACACACACACACACACACATACACACGCACACGCACACACACACACACACACATTCAGATGGAAACACTTGGAGCAGTTAGAAACATTTCCAAACACACACACATGAAAACACATCTACACAGAAACATCCTCGTAAGGGTTTGAGTTTCATCGAGCCCTGTCCTCTCATCTAGAAGCTCCCAGCTGCTCCAGCGCCAGTTCCATCTCACGTTTCCTCTCAGCTCACGTGTTTTCACGAGGAATGGTTACCTGGAGGTGAAGCTAGCCCTTTTGGGGTTCGGTGCAACCACAAACCCACAAAACTTCCTGGAAAGTTGTAGGACTTGTGTGGATTTTGCTCTTCAGGAATGTTCTCCCTGAATCCAACAGATTCCACGCGTGTTTTTCAGCCAGCTGTAAATGCCCATTCCACAGTTCCTCATCGGACTCGTCATGGAATATGTGTCATGCATAAAGTAACATAGATAAATTGTACATTTGTAAAAGTGATCCCACCCTGCTGGACGAACAGCCGTTCCAGATCTGACCACAAAAATCATTTAGGAAGGTGAAAAATAACCGTACAGGTTGCAGACCTGACTTCAACGCAATCCTGAGATGTGAGCCGTGTCCTGATGCAGCAGCGTGAGCTGCAGGAGGGCCTGCTGCTGGCCGGAGCTCCATTCATCACATATGAAGATGAGTGAGTCACGGTGATTCGGCTCGTGTCACATCGGAGGTATGTGCCACAGATTTTGCTCACGTTGGAAGCAGAGCTAACACATGCTACCCTCGACGTACTCTCACACCATTTCTCACACAACGCACTCACACACTAACCTGCAGATGCTCGCGCGCTTGGACGACTTCTATACAGCAGGAGTGCGTAAACAAACACACCGATAGAAACGAGGTATAGCGTTTTCAAAGCTCGTGTTTGCATGATGCTGCAGCTCAGTACCAAAGCTGGATTTTGTGTTTTTAATAATAAAATAAACATAAAAACTGTTTGTTTATGTATTGTTGTCTAAAAACTAAAGGCAGAAATAGTTCTGAACACACGTTTGTATTTTTACCATAAAACCTTTAAGCGCCTTCGTCCTGACGCCCTCTTGACCTCATTCACCTTGCTGGGAATCTCAGAGCAAAACCACTAAGGTGTTTCCTTCTCTTCCGTAACATGACAGGTCCTAAAATGATCTTTGTTTGTAGAAACTAAAAGCATCTTTATAATCCGGGCTGCATTTCCACGTCTCTCAGGACGACCTTGGACAACAGGGACGGAGGTTTGGTGATAAAGTCCCAGGATGTGGAGCACCTCCCTGCTGGACGTGCTCCACTCCTAACTAAAACCCGCCTGTTTGTTGTTTAGGAAACAAACATGTCAAGCTTTAGGTTTCTGGTGTTTTACGTCTCCTTCGTGTGCGTGTGCGGTGGCCGCGGCTTGTCCCCGGTGCCGTCGGGTTTGGGGTGGTGTGTCGGTCTCTGCCCCGCTGGTATAAATAAGGCATGATTGGCATCGCAGCAGAAAAAACCCTCCCTCTCTCACTCCGTCTCTCTCTCTCTCTGACAGCCTTCATTTGCTGGAGGAGTGGCAGACTTGGTGGGAGTTAATGATTATAATTATTTAGCTTTTTTTTACATTGCGGGATAATTATTTAAGAGGTTTGTGTAGTCGTTGTTGTAATCAGTAAAGAGAGATTACAGAAAATCCGCATGCCAACAGATGGCACTTGGCTGTTGTTATTGCTTCATATTAAACCAGAACGGCACGCTCGGCAGCAGCCAGGCTAGAGCGAGAGGACAATCAGAAAGGGCCAAATTATAAAACAATTTGTTCTTCATCACAAATCCATTTATCATTTCACTCCACTGTAGAAGAAAGAGGAGGAAGTGACAGTAGTACGCATGGCCCATGTTGGCCGTTCTGGAGAGGCTCAACACAACAGTGATGGAGCGGGGAGGCCCCACCCGAGAGTAGAAGGTCAGCGCGCTTTAGCTTCACGGAGCTTCTCTCAGGATCCCACTCTGACCCTTCCGGGTCCAGTTTTTAGTTCCGGTCAGGATTCTGACGTTACTATCCAGGGTCAGCTAGCAGGAGGAACGCGGAGGCCGCTGGCGTACATTCCAGACTAATTGTGTAATTGGAAAAGCTCCGCAAATGAGCAAGTGCCTGTACCCCCCCATACACACACACACACACACACACACATATCTACACCCCCCCCCCACCCCCCCCCACATGCCCTTCAAAGCAAATCACAAAAGAGCATTTTGGGAATAATGATCATTTCAAAAAGTGTCCATTATTAATCTCACACACTGGTGTTCCTGGCAGCAGGAGCAGAGCTGGTTAGCAAGCCCAGTCCCCACCCAGACACACACACACACACACACACACACACACACACACACACACACACACACACACACACACACGCAAAGAAAACAAATAGAGAAATGACAGAAGGAGCCGTGGACTCCCGGTCCTCCTGAACCAGAACAGCCACCACGAGTCCCAGACTTGGGTTGGTGTTGCTTCTACAGCGACGAAGATTTATCTTTCAGGTCTAAACTGAGACTGCACTGATGACATCATGGTGAGGTGTTTACCAGGACAACAGGAGATGTTTAAACCAGCTGTAAACTCCACCTCTTTACCAGTTCACTGAATGAAGTTGTGAACTTTATTTTTTAGATTTTTGTTGTTGTCATAAAATAGGAGTTTTGGTGACCAGTAAGGAATGATGCGCCCGTGTGCTGCGTTGGCACTCGTATTTTACTGTCACTGCTGGAGCTCGTGGTCAAATTGAATTTTCTGATTTACGGTCCTTGCCGTGTTCCGTTCATCTCCATGGCTACCGAGGGACCTGACGGCTACCGAGGGACCTGACGGCTACTGAGGGACCTGACGGCTACTGAGGGACCTGACGGCTACCGAGAGACCTGACGGCTACTGAGAGACCTGACGGCTACTGAGGGACCTGACGGCTACTGAGGGACCTGACGGCTACTTAGAGACCTGACGGCTACTGAGGGACCTGACGGCTACTGAGGGACCTGACGGCTACCGAGAGACCTGACGGCTACTGAGGGACCTGACGGCTACTGAGGGACCTGACGGCTACTGAGGGACCTGACGGCTACCGAGAGACCTGACGGCTACTGAGGGACCTGACGGCTACCGAGGGACCTGACGGCTA